AGTAACCTCCCTTGCAGTGCCTCTCTGAGCTTCCTCCTTGTGCTTCTCGCCACTGCTGTGAACGTACACACTGCATTTGGAACTACAGCAACTGTAGATGTATCAAAGGCTGCTTAAGTTTACCTTGATCAGGTACCAACAGCATAAAGCTGAGAATAATACAGGTTTTAGCTTGTGCTGTGTAAGTCAGCCGGGACCTTGTGCACTTAGCAAGGCAACGAGCCCGCAATGAGGTCTATGCTATCACAATTTCACTTCTACTAGAATCTGGGGGACCTGTTTTGAGATGAATATGTATGCTACTATCACACCTACAAACCCCTGCTCCAGGAGGAAATGTCACTTAAGCCAATTTCTGAAATCCAGACTAAAGCAAACCAGGTCAGAGAAGAACTGCCGGCTCCATTTTCATCAGTAGCCTCCTGCCCTATTTTTAACTTGGTCTTTTTAGGAGGCTGTGTCTCCAGTGACCACATGTGCCACAGCTGAATCTTCACAAACGTGGCCTCTGACAGAGAAGAGGCTTACACCTGTTCTCAAAATCCAGGGCTTCGAATTTCACTTCGGATCAAATGGCAATCAATGCAGGTCACAGACTGGCTTTTCTTCACACTTGTAGCAAGAAATGCTGCTCAATGAAAAATCAGTGTGTCAGACCTCCCTTCAGTATGAATACAAAGGTACAGTTATTAGAGCATTTCCAACTCAACTAAGATAGCTCTGCCTAAAAACACTATTCAGCTTTTGTGCAAAGAGCAGTCCTCAGCTCAAAATGTTCTCCAAATTCCATTCTCAATTTCCTAAGTGTCTCCAACTGATATATAGGGCCATATATCCAATAAATTCACATGGATGCATAACTATGTATTACATCAATACTTTAATTTGGATTTATCTTGTATTTCTACATCCACTCCTTGTCAATTTAATTTTTCACTTGTGTTCTCTGTTTAAAGCCTTACAGAGTGGAAAATAATGGCACTGATACCTTTCTGTCCTTCACATAACTATGATAACACTTCTGGCTGTGAAAACCTACGACTAACACTGCCATTACATTGCTGAACTAGTCTTAAAATAGCTACAGCACTTACAGCAACTACAGCTTTGGAGAAAGAAACAGAAAAATCTTTCACTGGCTTGAACAGCAGCAATGAAAGTTCCCCAGCAACTGCTTATGGCAGTGGTAAATCACACAGTGCCACTATTATTCAGTAGGTGTAAAAGGTATTTCAGTTTGGAAGAAAAATTGTTTCTAAAATCTTAATAACTATGGAGAAACAAAGACAATGAATATAGTTCTGAGCAAAGAGGATCCTTCTTCATATGACGCTCTCTATGCTGCCACCAAATCGAGGTACCTGCCTCGTATCAAGGTACCTGTACCTGCCCCTTGATGTCACCAACTATGAGCATGCAGTCATACTGTCTCACGTCCCAGTTGGCAATTTCCGTGGTCCGTTCTCTAGGAACATCCAGAGGGTTCCCACTCCAGCTGGCCCTCGAAGTCTACGCTTAGTTTACTTCTTCTATCTTCATTAATCACAGGCACCATAAAAAAGATTAACTAAAAAAAAAAATTCACTAAAATTGATTTTCCTTTATACTGCAGAACCACAGAAAAATAGGTATCAAGCAGCGATGTGATAGGAATTAGTGTCGCATTTCCCTTTCCTTTGCACACAACACAGGCTCCACTTAGGCTAAGAAAGCCTGAGGCAGTATGAGACTGTCTGAGGTCAGAATTACTATTTACAAATAAACAGCAACAAATATATTGTCTCCTCTGAATGAAACATAAATCCTCTGGGGTTTTGATTCAGTGTTTGATTCGGTCTTCCTCCTCTTAGCTCATCTCCTTGAAGATCCACAGCAAATGACAAAATAAAGATGTCACCAACATTGCAAAGAGAATGACAGCAGTGGGACTCCGCTCTTCTTTCCTCTACACCCTATGATATGGCAGGCAGATAAAAAGGCCACTGCGGAGGACAGGAGACTCGGTGACTCAGACTACAGCACTTCATTTCTCTCTTTTTTGTTTCTGACTCCATGAGAGATCACCTATTGCTATATCAATCTCAGTGGGATAAAAGGCAAAAAAATGATTAGAACTCCCTCTAATGCACCTGGAAACATCATTGAAGGGAAATACAGCAGAGAAGTCTCAAGGGAGAGCAAAAGGACAGAGACATTTGCATCTGCTCTTCTTCATTACTCATGGCATAATCTCTTTCCCATTACTTATACAAGGTGATAAGAAAAAGCAAATCATAAACAGATGGACATCTTCTCTATCTTCAGGCCTTCCCTCTTCAGAATATGGGTGTCCAACGACTGGTCCGGAAGGTGGATCTGTCCCAGAAAGTGCCTTGAAGATAATGAGCTGCGTATTGAGCAACTAAGTATTTTGTTTAGCTTGTGACAGGAGAGGGAAGTGGAGGTATGTCTGAACTGACTGGCAGGGAAACATAATTATCTTTGGCACTCGTGACTCAAACAACTCTGCCTGTCCAAATCTGAATATGAACATCACCGGTGATTAGACATCAGTCACTTGAAAAAGGCATCACTCTGGCAGCTTGAAAAGTAGCTTGTTTGAAACAGCATTATTCTCAAATACCATGGCTCTCTAGAGGAATATTCGATTAGTGTCTAGAAGTTCTGCATGTGGTACCAGTCAGCAGTTATTGTTGTTGTACTCATCAGGAGAGACCCACAATGACATAGGACAGCAAATATCAAAATAAAAATAGGAAAAAGAAAGCAGGAAACGGGAATAGAACTGCAGTAAGACATTTTGACTATTCACCTAGAGGAAATACAATTTCATCCTCAAGTCAAAAAATGTGCTCAAAAATGCAAAGAAACGGAAGTATGTCATACATGGGAAATCAGCTTGGCGGCATAATGTTAAGAAACATCAGAAGATGCAGTTCACTGAATGGTTGGGGGGGATGTTATTCATACAGCATAAGGACCTGCCAGTTATACTAGATCTGACCATCTTTTCTATGCTCCCCTCCTCCCATATACACACAACTTAAAGTTAAGTGACTAAAAATGTGGGGGAAAAATGAAGAGGGCAGCAAGCAAAGCCTGAAAGGAGGAGTTTCACCGCCTGGATCCAGACCCCATGTCCCAGCCCCGAAGGAGTTACCCAGGGCCACTCTCCTGCAGTGCTGGGCAGCCCTTGACTCCGACAGTCAGCTGGACTTTCAGCACCGTTGTCAATAAAACAAACCAAACAAGCAAAACCCCTAGGCCTTTCACAGCTGTTTCCCCCCCCCCATGACTTTGTACTGAATTTTTTACTACTTTTTTTTCCAGAAGAGTGAATTTAAATTATTTGACATCTCAGTGGTAACGCGGCTTCAATACTCCAGCTACAAAAGGTGACAACTACAAAAAGTTGGTTTTTAAAAAACATTTAATCTGTTAACATTCACATCTTTGAACTAGTGCATGAAGTGCTACACCAAAGCTAAATATTGTTAGAAATCTCTTGGTTTCGTTTATCCTGTCAGCACCCCTTTCCACCAAAGCAATGACAAAACTTGCAGCCACCGCTCATGACATTAACAGGAGCACAATAGTGGAGTCTGTAGCAGAATATTAAAATTGAAGGAGCTTTCAGTTTCACCTTATGCAATTACCCCAGCAATAACAGCAAGCATATTGAAATCACACCACCAATCAGAAAATTCACGTTTGGGACAGCAAAACACTGAAATGATTGGTGGATCCCTGATATTTCTTATGCAGCTGGACTTAACCCTGCTAACTGCAGAGTCTATAAATCAGTTTTTTCACAAAACTCTAAAGTCATAGGTGCCAAATACAAATATTTTTCTCATAATCCCATCCTTGATCTTTTCATGTTATTATTGGACTTCTTATTCTTAGCTACATTGTTGCTAAAATAAGTTGTTCTCTTTTTCCTACAAAATTTGCCAAACCCACTGCTGGAATGCATTTGTATTGCCCTCTTACTAGGAGAATTCCTGTAACATTCCCATTGACCTAATTGCAGTTTTTGGCCTGAAAAGATGACACGTTTGTGTGAATCTGGTAAAGCTGTTGAAGCAGGGATACTAGAAATGAAGTACCCTTCTGGCCCCTTTCATCAAGCTCCAGGCTGAATCCCCTTAGGAATGTGATGGCATTTCTTCTCCCTGCTTTTTTCTAAAATCCTATTCTAAGCTGCTTTAAAAAAAAAAAAAAAAAAAAAAAGTCCAAAATCTGACTGAAATAGCCCAGAAACTTAAGTAAAGACAGCTGGAAAGATGAAAGAGTGATAATGTTCAGATGCAAACCAAACGACATGTTCCAACAACTGGCAGGGACTAAATTCTGTCCCAGAAATGTGTGTTATTTCGTCTGTCATTAAAGAATACAGTGTCAGTGGGGAAATCTCTGAAACCACAATACAGTGACATTGTTATAAGTCTCTATTTGGAAAGCATTATCATTACTTAGAGAAAAACAGAGTTTTCATGTTTATATGCCCTCAGTGTGGTACCTGTTACAGTAAACCTTGTTTCACATAGCAGGAGAAGAAAAAAAATCAATTACGGGACAAAATTGATTGTTCGGAGACAGTTTAAAGCCTTGGTAGATACCATATGCCATCATTAGGCAAGCAGTTCAAATGCAGCAATATTATATGAAGAATGCAAGCAATATTGTGTCCCATATTAGATTCAAAACACAGTTTGCAGAACCTCCAACCCAAAGCAACTCCTGCTTTTTTGACCCTGCTGCAGATGAAGCTCACTCTGGGCAAAGTCCCATTTTATGGCAGAGGCAGTGCCTTTGACTTGCATCCTTTAATCTGGTGAAATCCTCGGATGTGCCCACAGTCCCATTTAGAGTCATGGTTCAGGGACACCTACATAACCGTGTCTCTACAGTATCAGTGCGCTGTGTTCCCAATATATTTCTGCTTATAACATATACTCTTATTTTTCTGAGCTTCTGCCACCATAGCGGCTTCCTTACCTGCACAGATCTTCCCATCGTAGATCTCGCACACCCAGTCGTGGCACTCGCAGAGCGGACCATAGTATTTGCCGGACTCAGTCACTTGGCAGATGCAGACTCCACACTCGCATCTGCCTCTGTCACTGCACAGCTTCCCCCCTGGGACGCGGCACCTGAGCTCCGAGTCAGTCCGGGACAGCCGGCACAAAGAAGGACTACCCAAACCGCTCCTGCCGAGGACAGCAAAGAGAACAAGCTGTGGTCAAAGCCAGGGGCTGCAGCTCAAAGCCGATGAGAGCTTGGCTCATGGGAAACCACTCTCCTGCCATGGCTTCTGCTGATCCCCAGAATACTGTTTTTAATGCCACCACTTTAGTTACGGTTGTAAACTCCTACTTGCCTCAAATCATCCGATTTTCTTCTCTTCTGCCAGAAATCTCATTGCTCCCTGCGGGAATGTTTACATTGTATTTATTTACCTTGTTAACTGCATTAGGCTCATCTTCTTTTTCATTACGCATATCTGGTATATATGCATATACATGTATAGTTTGATTACCTATCATGAAAGATTTTGATCTGAATTATTACAAAAGGTTTGGAAAAGATGTATATATCCAACCATCTAGGTAGCATAACAGGAATATATAATACCAAAAAGCAAACCTAAGGTTTATTCTAATAAAATACATTTGCCAAAGTAATCCTTCTGGTTGTCAGACATGTAGGATCCACGCTTTCATCGGAAAAGGAAACCGAAGTAATCACTGGTTTCCATGCAACAGTGTAGTTTGTGGCAGTGGTTTTAGTAAAGTCTGGAGAATCCGGATGCTAGATCTGAAGATTTGCAGCTCTGCCATGCAATTGTACCATGCACTGGAGCACACAGGGATCAGGACTTTCAGGACATACACAGGGAAAATCACATATTGCCTCATCAGGAGCTGGACTGTAGGAAAAAAGAGCAAAGGACTGGCCAAGCCAAAAATAGGTGTTCACAGCGCTAGGGAATACTGAGGATCCTGGTTACTAGTACCTGCACTTCTCAGACACTAGATTTTGCAGGCTCTGGAGCAAAGGAGCTGCTGGCTCTAAGAGCAGGCAGGTGCTAACCCTGGTGGAGGCGTAAAGCAAAGGGCAGCGTGCCTCGCTGTGCCGCTGCACCAAAGAGCAGGAACACACAGGGTTTTGCGGTTAGGTGCCTGCTCCGCTCAGGCAGCAGAATTTAGAGATTTGAGCATAGAGAGTCATCATTATCCAACTCTTCCCCCTTCACTGCTTTAAAGATCTGCATCTCGGGCATGAAATACATCATTGCAACAAACCCCCGCAGTGTGTACACAACAGCTATTTAGGTTCCCAGTGACCCAAAGCACTTCCCTCAGTGTCACTTTTAAGCAGGCAGAAGAGCTCGCAAACCGCTCCACCGCTCCCTCTGCAACCCCAGCCTCCACACTCCTGACATCTCATAAATCAGTCACAAACCCCCGGGGAGGCTTCAGAGCCGCACTTACCGCAGGGCCGGGGGGCCGGCCGGCGGCGCGGGGTGGCCGGCCGGCAGCGAGGTGACCAGCAGCAGCACCACCAGCCCTGGCAGCCCCTGTGCGTACATGGTGCGAGCTACGCTACGCCACACCTGGAGCGCTCCCGCAGACGGCCGGCCGGACAGACGGCCGGACAGACCCGCTGGGCGTGCAGAGAGATGTGAGCTGGACAAGCCCAGCTCCAGGGCTGCTCCCCCCGTGCTGCAGTGGCTCTGATTAGCTGCCTGGGAGCGGGATTTGGGCAGCACTCTGGGAGGGAGGCCGGTGCCAAACCCCGAAGTTTACAGTCTAGGCAGGGAAGTAATTAGAAACAGTTGCGCAGCCAGATGGTTTATTTTGATGTTTTAAAAGTGGCCCATTCACAGATGTGAACGAACCGTCTCATTCTCAAAGTGCAGGCACCGTAAATATTTGAGGTATGTGTATCCCCCCATCCTTTGATGGATGGCTGCTTGGGATAATCTGTGTAACACGGTGGGATAAATGTGCACCGCTGAGGAGACAGGACCAGTGCTCCCCAGCTGCAGCATCCCTGCCTGGCTGCTGGAGCACCTCCCTCCCGCCTGCCTCCCCAGGTCCCTCCCTCCCCTCCTTTCCCCAAGGTTACCTGCACATGGCATCGCACTGTGTGACACCACGGGCTGCCAACCCACACCAGCCTGAGCGACTGCAAATTAAAAAATATTATTGGTTTCCTAATGCCTCATTAAAACGCACAGTACAATACTTCATCAGAGCAGTGGGAGATTTTGGAAGTGCTTTAAAACGAAGCTAAAACGAGGGATAGTCTCTCTAAATGAATAAAATTTGGCAGGAATGGCCACATCCACTTCTTTATGCTACGGAAAAGTTGCGACACTTTTGATCCCTCTGGTTGTCCTGGGAAATTGCTGATTGCCTGACACCTCCCTGGGATGGAAAGCTCTTAAAGAAACTAACTTCCACCACAAAAGATGGTAGGATACAGGTGTCCTAGTCTACACACACACACACATGCATTTTTAAAACAGGCATCTGACAGAAGAAACTTTCACTGGTTCCAGAGCCTATATTGGAGATTAAAGCCCTCAGTTGCTTTCTCAAAATGAGTAACTCTTGTTTTATTTTCATATTAAATATCTGGTATACCACAGATTATACTGTTCTAGAAAACATTTTAAGATTTGGTTAAAAATCTTGTGACTCAGATGCTGCCGTTCCTAAAAGTGTAATTACGTGTCTTACATCTTACATAGTGAACTCAAGGGTACAATTCCCAGGATTCCTGCTAACATAACTAGTTCTGCTGGTGATCTTTCTGCAAAAAAAATGCATCAAGCATTTGACTTTGCTCTGCTGGTCTTATAGGTGCCAAAAGAACCTTTAAAGTCCAGTTTGGGGCCTGTAAAATCCAGTTTTTAGTCAAGTACCCATTCAGTTGAAGTATAAACTTTCATTGAAACACAAAAGAAAAGATTGGACAAAATCTGTTCTAGCATATTTGTAATTATACATTCTTATTCCATGAAGATATACTGGTTAAAACCAAACATGATTCCAATCAACTATTAAAACATAAGACTTTTGTCTTATTTTAATAGGTTACCTTGAAGTTGTGAAATGTAAAACTTTGCTCTCTACTTGTAGTGTACTATCCTCTATATGACACATAATTTTGCCCTAAAACATGAGCAAGTAGAATTAGGATGTAAAAAAATCCAAAAGCCCCATATATAGCTGTTGCATATTGTATACTAATTTTTAACAGTTTTGCTGCCCTTTATAGTATATTTCATATTGCAAATATGTTACAGAATTTTCTCATGCAATGCAGCTGGTAAAAATCCTGTATTAAGAGTGATCTGTTGGCTTCAGTCTTGCGAATGTTTACAGTTGTGCTAACCTCATGCATTTGACTTTGACAGGTCTAGTGAAAAGGTAAGTAATACTGGCAGGCCTTTATTTCTGACAGTCCTTGAACACTGAAGTCCATGCTTAATGCAACACTATGTGTTCTATCTGTGTGATAGTTTTTCAAATTTATTTGTAGTGCTGCAATAAAAAAAAACCCAAACCAAAAAAACCCCTTAGATTCAAAAAGGGAGCACTTTTAAGAGCAATATGATTATCAGAAATTGTACTGCCAGAAGTCTGGAGTTAGAGAAGAATATATAGAAAGCTTTGCATTTTAAACAATAGTAATTCCCTTTTGGCACTAAATTTATCTTTAATCCACAAACTAAAATGTTGCCATCTGTTCATCTTCCTCCTTTTTCCCTGTGCAGACTGGTGCTGATAGGTATTCACAAGACCTTCAAGCAGCCTGCAAACTACGACTACAAGTGTACGAGGAGAAGACATTCATCATGATATGTTGACCTTATCACTCTCTTAATTTTTATTTATTTACATCTGTCAAGGTTTTAAGTGATACACGCCTTTTGGCTGTGGACCTTTTGAATTTAGAAAAGATGCAGTTACACAGTCCAAGGGTGCAGTATTTAAAATGTGCACCCAGAGCTTAAGTTTAATAATTGCTTTCATGTGCCCGTGCCTCTAATACAATATCTCAGTGCTCCCTTACTGGATTTTAAACTTTGCTCAGATTTATTATTTAATCATTTAAGCCTAGAATGTTTGTATGCATACATGTATATATGCACACTAGATGTGTATATATTTGGGAGCTAAGTGGCTCCCAAATGGATTGTAAACTCAATTTATAAGGAGCCAGTGTCTTTCTAAATGAGAACCTGACACGCTGTCTTGAGGATTGCTCACTTCCTTTCAGCCACTCCTGTACATTATCTTAAGGAGCTTTGTTCTCTACTGGATAACATACACCTACACAAAGTAGAGCGCTCGTGAAATGCTACTTTTCCTACATACTGGAGATTCAGACTAAGGCTTCAGACCTGTAGGTGGTTGGTAGATGTACACTTTACACATTGTAATGTCAGTACCTGAAGAGCAAAGGAAGAGAAGAGAAGAGAAGAGAAGAGAAGAGAAGAGAAGAGAAGAGAAGAGAAGAGAAGAGAAGAGAAGAGAAGAGAAGAGAAGAGAAGAGGTCAACACAACGCTGAGGAGGAGGAGCTGGAACATACTGCTAATACTGAACGGCCTTTTGAAAAGTAGGCAGTAGGTTTAAATAATACTTGTCAGACAAGAAATGTCTTCAAATAAAGATATGGAATCAAGAAAATAAGTGCTGCTACACACACCTACACTTGAACTCAGTTTATCACTACTAGTGTTCTTATTAAAAGTCTGCAGGATTTGATATGGTCAGAGATTGGGATAAGCCTTTCTCCTGCAATTTTATTTACCAGGAGAGGAACCAATAGTCTAATTTCCTATCCAAACTGGCGATGGCTCTTTTGTGGTTTCATAGCCTTCTGAACTGTGAAGAAGTGTGATGTAACATTATGCGTGAAAACCAAGTTGTAAGTCCTGGGGTAGACTAGGTAATTCATAAGCAGTGATTTTTTTATTTTTTTTAAAGGCAAGCAATATCTTAACTTTGCCAGAATTGTTTTTCTAGTAAAGTTAATTAGAGTAATATTAAAACATAAGGAAAAAAACCCAGAAGAAAAAGCTTTTTTACTGTAAGAGTGGTCTAACACTGGAACAGATTGCCCAGAGAGGTTGTGGAGTCTCCACCCTTGGAAATATTCAAAAGCTGTCTGGACAGGGTTCTGGGTAACTGGCTCTAGGCGACCCTGATCTGAGCAGGCGGGTTGGACTAGATGATCTCCAGAGATCCCTTCCAACCTCAAATATTCCATAATTCTATGACTCAGATGACATACTGTGCTACTAAACAAGATTCGATTTGGTGTGGGAAGTTAGATGGAATCTGCCTACTCCTTTATTACAGCCTCTTAGTGGCCAGCTTAATTTTGTTGTCACTTCAACACAGCCATTAGGTTTGCAAACCACGCTATTTTTAAGGATTTTTTTTTTTAACAAAACAAAGAAAGATGCACATCCAGCGAACAGTCTAAGCTTGAAAAATAACTGGAGATCACCAAAATTTGTCAAATAATCCTCCTGGGTTTCCATGGAAGCCATTTTAGTAACACCATGGGTTTATATCAGTGGAGACATTACAGAGGCATTAGCTTACATAGCAATTTTCTAAACTTAACCAGAAGCTGAAAATCCCACGTATCACACAAGTTACTACTTCTCCATAAAACGTGGAATGAGGAGAGTTGGAAGCTTCCAGTGATTCTTCATCACTTCTGTCAAGGATATACAATCACTAAATGAGACGGCTGTAAAGATCTACAACAAACCACTTTAACACCCATGGACCAAAATACTTGCTGGAGTTAACTAAAATCTGTCTAAATTAAACAGTTCAGAAGTGCATGCAGCTGTTGAGAGTTATGCTGTGCTAGCCGATGGCATCCTTAGAAGGGAGCAAGAGACAGTACACCAGAGCTGTGCAGTACAGAAAATCTCGTGTTCATTTTGCTGACGTGACATGGAATCTGGGACAGCTGATGGTATCACACAGGGAATAGAAATAGCTTTTGGAGTTACAGGATCAAGGTTAGAACAAGATTAAAGCTGAGCTGGCCTGAATGTAGCTGGCCTGAATAGTAGTGAATATAAGCTACCCAAACAGTTCATAGGCCAACATTAATCAAGATGTTATTATGTTATACTCGAGTGTAAAACCTTAGCTTACTCTTCCAGGTCCCAGCTGGAACTTTAAATAGTAGGTAGTTTTTTTGTTTGTTTAATGTTTACTAGTTAATTCCCCCAAACAGCAATAATACCCTGCTTTTACAGAGGCCTTAAGGCAGCACAAGATGTTTAAGCATGAGCTTGCAAGACAGCTCAGAATGCCAGCAATAATAGTATGTTTTAAAAAACATACTACTGCATTCTTAACCATTTAGCACTTATTTCAGAAAGTGAGTCAAGGTCTGGTGTAATCCAAGCTAACAGTATTGTTGAAGAGGACAAGAAAAGAAATAAATGTCATTTCCCAACATAAATTCTCATTCCACGGTCAAACTGTGCCTTACTTCTCCAAGGGACAATATTCTTTGTTGCTGGGAATCTTGACAAATCTAAA